TAGTCTTTACAGTAGTACCATCAAAGATCCATGTTACCTCTCTACTCAGGTCTTCCCAAATAGGCTTTTTGTTCCCCAATTTCTACAGATTTACATAGCCACAAGGACTTATCTTGAGTTTGCACTGCCCGATTTGTCGGTTTGCATTCCTCTGTGTAAAATACTCTAAATGTTATATTGACCTTCAGTTATAGCATATTATTAAATAATGTTCTTTAGAAGAAATTGCTAAATGTTACTAGTCTACATCTGATAATGAATGCTATAATATCTAGGATGACTTTATTAAAGAAGCTGACCAAACTCAATCTAAAATGAACCTTATTAATGACATCCCAATTGAAAATTTTTTTAGAAGACCAGAAAGTGACAGCTATTATTTGCTAAACAACTATAATCCTAATAAAGAAATAGATACTTTTAGCAATATAGAATTTGATGATACTGATGAATTTAATATAGAAGTAATATTAGTTAATAAATCTTAGTAGTTTTTCCTTTTACAAACCCTTCACCAGAATATTATTTAGAATTAATAACTATTTAGAACACTATTTATATAATATAGTTTAATGAAAAATAGTTAATTCAACTTATTATTATTACTAGTTATTTATATATTTATACTTATATTTTATTATAAAAAAAAAAATAGACAAAAACAAAAAAAAAAAGATAAAACAAAAAATAACAAAAATATATATATATATATATAAAGTAAAATATATATATATATAACAAGTTAAAAACCAATATCTGATATTCTATCTCTATTATTATTATTCTTTTTTCTTCTTCTTTTTTTTGCTCTTAATCTTCTTAACTTCTTCTTATCATTTGCTAACCTTGCTTTTAATATATTTCTTTTCTTCAGCAACTGAGTATACTGCTGCTCCAACATCTAACTGTTCTGCATTCTTGCAACTACATTCGCTCTCAACTCTTTTAACTTTATCTCCAAACTTGTATTCTTCTTCTTTGAGAAGCCACTAACTGAAGTAAACTATAAACAAGTTTTGTTAAGTGAAAAAAAAAGAAGAAAAAACAAAAAAATTTTAAAGATAATATTTACTATTTGTTCTTAACTTAAACCATCTTCAAGACCTTATACAAGGCATTATTGCTATTTTAGTGAGCATGATAAACATTTTCAGAAAGACTATAGTGAGGCATTGTTATTATTATTATTATTATTAAAAGTTGTTATTATTGTTGTTGATGTTGTTGAACTTTACAAAAAAAAAAAAAAAGTAACAAAATGACTATAAATTTAACAAACAATAATAAAACAGAATTAGACATTAATTAGAAGTTGATTTACCAAATTTAGAAATTAATTAGAAATTGATTTAACAAATTTAGAATAGCAAAGATTTATAAGTCACATGATTACAAATCACATGAAATCCTATAATCTTATTGAACATTTGAAGTATTCTAATAATCTCCAAAAAGGATACAGATTTGAAATTTTGTAATATTTCTAGTATGAATTAATAGTATAAGGCATATTACAAGTTGTACATTTAAGACTAACTAGAATGAGCTTTTTGCTAGAATTTGAGTCTTGTAAGGCCTTTGGTTGAAGTACTAGAAATAGAATTTTTTTTTATCTCTTCTCAAACAATTATACTTATTTTTATTATTATATTAGAATATTATATTTATTAGTTAATATTAATACTTTATTTTTATTAGTTTATATATAAATGCATGAGAGTAAAAACCTGAAAACTGATTATAGTAAATTATTAAATCAGTTTCCAGATTTTCACTCTCATGCACTCATATATATTTATATAGTATACAGTTCACTCTCACTATAGCAGACTCTGTTAAATCAGATCCTTTGCTATAATGAAGTGATTTACCAGAACAAAAAATTTAATATTTATTTTTCCTCGCAATTATGGATTTTCATATAATAATACACTATAACAATTACAGTTTGAATTGTATTGCCTAGCATATAAAGAAATTCTTGCTATAACAGATTTGTAATATTTATAGTTATTATGAACCAATCAGATTATAAGATTATGATAATACATTACAACTAATAAAAGTTTTTTTGAACTTGCTAATATATACCTGGTACATACATATTGTATATACTACATGATACACTATGCCTAATTTAAAAGTTAAAAGTATCTTTTAAAAACTTTATTAAGAGCTTACTTTAAGTTTTCATACATTAAATCAATAAATAAATAAGAGTATTATCTTTAGTAGTTTTGCCTCAATAAGGTATTAAATATAAAACTAGAGTATTGACTCTATCCAAAATATCTTGTGCAACTTTTTTTTTTAAAAAAAAAATCTTTTTGTGCTCAAATCTTTTTTATTTATTTATTTTATTTTTTTTTTTTAAAAAAAAAAACAAAAGAAACCTTTTTGTGCTCTAAATTTTTTTTTTTGAAAAAAAAAAAAAAATTTTAAAAAAAAACTTTTAAATCTGAAAACCTGAAAACCCAGAAACCTTGAAACTCTGGAAACTAAAAACTCTAAAAACCTGTAAACATTTTTTTTTAAAAAAAAAATGTCTGCTGAAATTAATAAAATGCATATTCTTGATAAAAAATGCAAGCATGTAGCAATATCAAGTTTGACAAAACAAGAAATTTGTCAAAAGCTTTTTGCATATAACTCTCCTAAACAAAAAGATCTAGTGTTTTTATATAATATTTCTGAGCAAGCTGTATCTGATATTTGGCAAGATAAAAATAAGCAGCTTCAACTTAAAGTCAATAAATATAATGTGCAATTAAAAAAAAATGTCAATCAGGATTTCCAATGATTGAGGAAGTTTTAGAAAGATAGTTGCAATATGCTTTCGCAAAACAAATAGTATTGACAGATGAAATTCTCATAGAAAAGGCTAAAAATATTGCTTCTAGTATTGAAGAAGAACAATTCTATGGTTCAAAAGGATGGCTAGCATGATTCAAGTTATGACATGATATAAAGATGTACTTAAGAGTTGATGAAGGTGGAAGTGCACCATCAGAAGCTAAGCTTAATGCAGAATGATGAAGGTTACATTCTATTATCACACAATACTCATTGGATTATGTATGGAATGCCAATGAAACAGAAGTTTTTTGAAAACAAGAGCCAACAAGAACTCTTGCTACTAGTCCTCAACAAGGTTGTAAACTTTCAAAAGAACGAATTACATGTCTTATCACTTGTAATATGACTGGAAATCAAAAATTAAAATTACCATTTATTTATAAACATAAAACACTATGTTTACTTCATAATATCAACTATAATAGACTTTCAGTTTCTTACTTTTGGAATAAAACCTGTTGGATGCAGGTATAAAAAAATAAAAATTAAAACAATATTAATTAAAATGCATTATAGTATAATTAGTTGTTTTTTCAAAAGATAATTGATTGCACTATAATACATTTTAATTACCTTATTTTAAAACTATAAATGCTAATTAATTTTTATACAGGTTTCAATCTGGACAAGAATATTAAAAGATTGGAATAAACATCTTAGTAAAAGCAGCAAAAATATTCTTCTTATCATTGATGGTGCACCAGTATATTGCCTGGAAGAAAATGTTAAACTGAACCATATTTGCATTGAATTCTTGATGCCTAATGCTACTGCTCATATTCAACCTTGTGATTAGGGAATTATTTATTCTTTTAAATGTTTTTACAAGAAAAGTTTTATAAGAAATAGAATTGATGCATATAATTCTGTTCGAAATAAGTTAAATAAGGATCCACCAGACTTTATTATTTATGATGCTATTTACCTTGCAACTAATGCTTGGAAAAATATGACTTTTGAAACAATTAAAAATTGTTGGAAAAAAGCTAAGATTCTTCCTTCTAATGAAAACAATGCTATACTATCTACACAGTCTTCAAATATTAAATATGAACAAATTCATGAATTAAATGAATTAATTACAAAACTCCCAATTAATAACTTTCTTAATGCTAATGAATATTTATATTTGGATGATGTTTTACCAATCGAAGAGATATCAGACAATATGATTTTAATTGAACAAGTTCATCATGAACATGAAAATACACAATCAGATGATGATGATGATGATAGTTGTTCAACAGAACCTTCACATAAGATTTCTTTACAAGAAAGAAGTTGTATTGCAAAAGATTTAGTAGAATTTTTATTACAGCAACATGATGAATTTGAAATTTCATCTGAAGAATTAGGTATAGTAAGATGTGTAAGTAAAATTATTAAGCATAAAGAAATAAATGCAAGACATCAGGTGTCATTAATACAGTTTTTTAAATAATATATAGATTTATAAAGTGTTAAATAAAATAATTTTTGTTTAACAAGCAATTAAATTATTTGAATAAATTTATTAAGATATTTATTACAGTTTGCAAAATTCTGTATATATTGCAATTATTAAAAAAAAATCGATTACGATTAATGATTAGTAATTTCTAATTTTTTTATTTATTTTTTTAAACTTTAATTAAACTTTAGTATTTAAAATATTAAAGTTTAATCTAAAATTTAAAAAATATATAAAAAAAATTAGAAATCGAAAATCAGAAATTACTAATCATTAATCATAATTATAGTGGCATATCATTTTTCAGTAACAAGTAGAAATATACCTGATCCAAACTGTGAAGAATTAGTAATAATAATTCATTTGTGATCTTATTTGTAATATTGACTGTTAAATGGTTTTTATATGCTGTATACCAAGTGTAGGATTAAGTTAAAATCAGGTATATTTTCTTCTGTTATTTACAATATTTTTTTAAAAAAAATATATAAGCTTTAGTCTTTAAACCTTAGTTGTTTTATATTAGTATAAAATACTATCTTATTTTTAAAATTTAGATAGCATTTAATTGTACTACTAGTAGCATATAATGATCCATATGGCTTGTCACTTCCAGAGCAAAATAATAACAGGAATTAAAATTTTCAAAAAAGTTATTTTAAAAATTAATTATTTAATTGTGTCTAACTGTTTAATCCAATTGGACTTTAGTATTATTCTTGAAGATTTTGGATGGGTAGAAATTGTTGCTATGTGATTACCCGAAATTCATAATAATTTTATTTGAATAATTCAGATAATTTAATAATACCTGAGTAAAGATTTTTTAAATGGGTCCAATTTCTATAATAAACAATAATATAATATAGGCACTTTTCAATAAATATAATTGGTCAGATTCGCTATATCATATATTACCAAGTTTTAGATAGTAAATCCATTATAATGTAATAATGGATATTCATTATAACAGATAGAATTTTCCAGCCCAACCAATCTGCTATAGCAAGAATAAACTGTACTTATTTTTATAATTTAGTTTTCTCCTAGGTCTAAAGTAAATAGATGTCTAAGACTGTATAGAGTAAGGCTAAAGCTCTATACACTTTTATAATTATATTTAATTTTTTTTTCTATTGAGACAAATCTGATATTAAAGAAAATTTAGTCTAGATAGTCATTGTTCTAGCAACCTGATTAAAAATAAAAACTATTACTTATTATAACTTTAAATACTTCTTGAAAACAGTAAATTTTCCTACAAATTTTATAAGAAGTTAAAAAAAACAATTAGAATCTCAAAGTAAATTCTATATTATCAAGAACAATTTACTTTACAAACAAAACTGAAGAAAACAAAAGACCCACTAATTACTTAAAATAATTCAAGCACATGAAGTAAAACCAATTTTCTACTTAATGCACAATTATCTAATTGGAGCACCTCTTAGAACAGATAAGATGTTTAAAAAAATTCAAGACAAATATTATTGGCTACATATATATAAAGATATTAAAAACTATATTCAAACATGTAATACTTGCCAAAAGAAAGAAAAATACCAAATACCTAAACCTTTTCAACTAATTCCTGTAAAAGCACTTTTTCATCGAATTAGTATAAATTTTGTTGGACTCTTACCTACTATTACTTAATAAAACAGGTATATTATAGTTGCTACAGACTATATAACAAAATAGCCAAAAGCAAAAGCTGTACCTAAAGTAGATGCCAAAAATATAGTAAACTTTATCTATAAAGATATTATTTGTTAACATGAATGCCTTATATACTTGTAATCAGATAAAAGAACATATTTTAATAATGAACTAGTAAAAATACTTATTCAAAAATTTGAAATCTAATACTTACTCTCTACTCCCTATCATCCACAAACTAATAAACTAGTTAAAAGATTTAATCAAACATTATATGAATCTTTAGCAAAATTAACTAATCAAAGCAAAGATTGAAATATCTTTATTCTATCTATTTTATTTGCTTATCAAACTGCAAAACAATCTCTATCAAGTTTACACTTTTTTAACTTACTTATAAAAGAGAATCAAAATTTTTAAACTTTAATATTAATAACCTATTAGAAGAAAACTTTTCTATCTGATTATTCTTCTTAATTGAAGAATTACTTTAAGTATAAAAAAAAGCCAAAAACAATAACAATAAAACTTAAATTTAACAAAAATTTTATTAGGACAAAAAGCACAAAAAAGTCAAATCAATCTTTAGAAAAGAAAATAAAGTTCTTTTATATGATGCCATAAAAGACAAATATTATTCTGGCAAACTATTATCCAAATAGAAAGAAACTTATTTTGTACATAAAAAAGTTGCATCAGATGTTTATATATTGCGAACCTTAGAAGGCAATATTTTGGAAACACCAATTAATACCTTGTTGCTAAAAAGATATTATAATAAACACTTGTGAAATCCTATGATTGTTATTAATTAATCACTTTCTTATACCAATAGAAATAATACTCTCTCACAATGAATATCTATTTTAATACTATTCTTTCAGATTTTCTAAATACTGTATTTGCTTTTCTGACTACTGTAACTTGTTCATCAATAAATTTCAAAACCTACAAAAATAAATAATCAACACATATAGAAAACTCCTTAGAACTAATAGTTCTTAAAAAAAAAAGCAATTTGTCTATGCTTATTATTTAAGTAAATTATTAGAAGAATACTCAAAAGAACTAAGAACAAGTAAAAGAAAAATTTCTGTTTATTATTATAGAGTTTTAATCAAAACCTATTATATTTTCCATAACCTTGGAATAGAACAAATTTTTAGAACCAATACAACTACTCTTTTAATAATTGATAGTCTCTCAAGTTCTGACTATTATGCTCTATTTTAATTTTTGCAGAGCTCAAAACTAAGTAGAAGAGAATGTTGACATTAAGAATTTTACACATTTTTGTTTATAACTTTTGATGTACTAAACCAATTTGAATAAAACAATTATCATTGAATTCAGCTCATCAAGATGATTCTAATGAGCATAAGATCATAAAATTCTAATTATGAGATCATAAGATTGAGACAATTTTAATAAAAAGCACTAAATTTAATACATGTAACTTGATTCTAATTGGCTCAAATTACTGTACCAGAAATCTTACATTTCTTACAGATCATCAGATCTTACAAATATTACATTTTTATTATTTCTATCATTTCTATTATTTCTATAATATCTTATATATCTACTATATTTATTATATATATTATATTTATTATATCTATTAGTTTTTATATATCTTAACATTACTATACTGTATATAGCATTATTAGCAATAGAGTAGTCTTTATTGTAATAATTTATACATATAAAATATCTATAAAAGCACTATTTTCTGACCCTTTAAAAAAGTTAAATGTCTTCATATATTTCATAGTTAATAAACTAAATGCAATATTTAATATCTTCATATACTATCTATTGTTGCCTCTGTCTTAAAATCCCAAAACACACTATATTTTATTAAGTCTTGTGTAGACTTTGTATAGAATTTGTCAAGTTATAGTCATAATATTATAGTTGAGCAGCTTCTGTTATCACTGTAGTTAAAGAAAAAACTATAAATTAACAATAGTATTATAGCAATAGTATTCTGTCAATCAGTTAAGATAAGATATCTGTAACTATAGTTGCATTAGCATGACTGGCAAGTCATGGAGCATCTGTATAACTCTGCTTATACAGAGGAATGCAAATCAGTACCAGGCAGTGCAAACTTAAAATAAGTTCTTGTAGCTATATAAATCTGTAAAACTGAAAAACTAAAGCTTATTTGAAAAGACCTAAGTAGAGAGATAATATGAATCTGCAACAGTACTACTATAATGGCTAAATCTAAAAAACAAATACCAATATGGAGAAGCTAAACAGGCAAGAACTTTAGATAAGGGTATCACTAACCAGGCTACCAGAACTGAATCAGAGAAAAAGGATATTGGACTGGCTCAATATACCAAGAACAGATCACAGTCCTTCTGAGCTATCTGAAATAGACGTTTGAGGACAAAGCAGAAGTATACTATAAATACTAGAGATATGTTGTGAAGTAGGTGCTAGGATCTGGGTGAACTTTACAAGAGCTAGCCTTGTTAATGTTCTGCAAAGTAGGTAGATAGTTAACAAGAAGATACTCTAGAACCTTATAGTCAGATAATATACTCTAAAATATGTAACAGTTTGATAAATATACAAAAAAGAAGGCTAAATGTTGGGTTAAACAGTACTTAGATATACAGAAACCAGATGCTACTTGTCTAAGTGCAATATAAGGATCAGAGTGTTTAAATAGA